GGGCGAAGCCCAGCTGCTCCCCGCCCGCCCGGCCCCCCCCCCCCCCCCCCCGCCACGTCCCTTTCCCAGGTGTAAAGTCAAGTGTTACTTGCAGTTTGAGACACACCCTTTGAGATCTTTTTCTGGGTGAACACACAAACACATGAGATTATACTACATGTATTAATCTACGGCTGTTCTTTAAAAAAACATATACATGGTTGTATTTCCACGTTCTTATTTTTTATCGGCTCCATCGTATTTTATTGTATGGATGTTTGATAATTTGTCAAAAAATTCTTTATTGGAAGACATTTGCATTGTTTCCCTTGTTCCACTATTACAGAAGAAAGTGCTGGAACGAGCAAGGCGCATCCCTGTAAGATGTAGTTCGGGAAGTGGAATGCACATCTACAGCTGATCAACAGGTACTGACCAAATTCCCTACAGACAGTCTGTGTGCATGATTAACATCAGACGTCACTCCACTCGTGCTGACATCTGTGAGACCTGTGAGCCCCTTGCCTAGGGTTCCATAACCTTTATTCCCAATGAGATTTTGCCTGAAATGCCCTCCCCACACGGTCTGCCCCTCAAAGTCCTCCAGAACACGGTCCTTGACACAGACCCTTGCTCTTCCCCCTCAGAGCTCCCAGTGCATGGCTCTCTGATACCTGAAATTATTTAACAGGTTTTTGTCTTTTTTCTCCCAATAGACTGGGTGTTCCTGAAAGTAAGGGATTGAACACTAGCTAATCTGGCATACAGCGCTCCGTTTAACAATCAAATGACTATTCCCTGGTATTTTTTGTTATTATTATTATTTTTTAATGTTGGTTGTTTTCTGAACACTCCCCACCCCCACCCTGAACCTAGTGGATATTCCAGAAATACTGATGGATTGGTTTAGTTGTTCTCCATAACTTGGGCACCAACCAGTGATAAAACTCTGCACTAAGGGGTAAAAATGTGGAAATGGGAGTTGGCAAGTAACCAGCTAAGGACATAATGTGGGGACTCGCCCACAGAGAGAGATGAAAGTTGGGTTCTGGGGAGGGGAGAGAAGAGGTCAGAATCACAGGGAGCAGATGGGGGAACAGAAGGAACTGGTAAAAGAGAAAGGGAAGGAGCAGTCTGAGAGCACACATGACACCTGCGAAAGAGAGGTTAAGGCACAGTCAGGGAAGACTTCCTGGAGGAAGGAGACTCAAGTGGCAGGTAGGTGCAGGTTTGAATCCCAGTTCTGCCACTTGCAAGTCATGGACTTGCAATTTAATAAGCTTGATATTTAATAAGCAGTTCTATCATGTATAAGATAAGGGTAATATACCTACCTGCTGGATGTATCCTAAGGACTAAGTGAATTTACACATGCCCCTACCACCATGCCCCTAACATGGAGAAAAGAGTGGGAGCATCTCTTTTCTCTGCTCAGCTCCCAGTTCAGAACAATTAATTGGATAAGTCACCTGATTTGACCATCACATATTGTACACAATTATTGATAGTCAACTTTGTACCCTACAAATATGTATAATCATTTATGCTTCAATAAAAAAGAAAAAAATTGTATAGGTCAGATAGTCCATCTACTCTCTCCTTCATAAGGTGACTTTTAAAAGATTTGCAGAGATTTATCAGTACTCTGATAATCTCTCCCCAGACTCAATGCTTCCAGCTCGTGCTGCCCTGATCACTCCTCTCTGAACCCCGTTCTTAAGATGGTATTTAATTGCGTGCTGGTCTTCAGGTTCTCTGGATGTAGCTGCCCAGCTCAGGGTATAGGGGAGCCTGTTAGCTGGCCCGGTGGCACACTGCTACAGTGCGCCGCTTGGGAAGCGCAGCGGCACTCCCGCCGAGGGTTCGGATCCCACATACAGACCGGCCGCTCACTGGCTGAGCAAGGTGCGGGAGCAACACCGAGGGTTGCGATCCCGTTGCCGGTCCCGGTCTGGTACGGGCGCGACACTGAGGGTTGCAATCCGTTGCCGGTCACAAAAAAAGAGACAAAAAGGAAAAAAAAAAAAAAAATAGGGGAGCCTGTTAGCCAGCCCATTCACCCCATATCAGTAATAGACATTTAAAATTTTATTTTTAACATTCTACTTGTGCTGTGGCCTTATGATGATCTCCTAGTTATCTGAAACTCTTAGGCATCTACTTTTACAAATGCATTTTTTGGAGTGCAGAAACAGAACTATATATTTAAAGCTGCCAGGCCACATCCTGTTGGTTGAGATCCACCTTCTCAAAATTTCAGTTTGATAGGATTATCTTCAATCCTTATTCTGTCCAGAGTGCTCTCAGCTAGGATGGTTTACATATCCAAAGATAATGGTTTCTGACGATTTTTGCAATTTTCTTCCCTACTAGTGCTCCCTTCTGGAAACTTCTAAAATGTTGCCCCCACCTCTGCCCTGGTGTTCTTCACAACACCAAGCTTAGTGCAACAATTACTCTGTTGATGTGAATTTTCCCTTCTATTTGTTTAGCCTAAGATTATGACCATTCTTGGTTCACATGGCATTTGTTGTGGAGTAGAATTCTGAGATCGTTTTCGTGGAATGTCTTCCATTCACAGAAGCTGCTGCCTGGAGGATCATGGGTTGTCTTGAATTTTTATTAAGAATTCAGCTGTTGCCCCAGGGATTTTCTGATCCCACGCACTCTGCAGACATTAACCATTGCTTATTGTTTCCAAAAAGGGAATGGGAGGGTTTGGCAATGTCCGAGCACGGTCATAACTGGCTAAGGGAGGCTGTCATCTCTGTGGCCAGGCATCTCTCTGGAAGGAGCAGACCTTCAGTGGGTGAGGGATGAGCAGAGCTTAAGATCAAGCCCCAGGGACAAAGACACAGCACACCTGAAAACGTCTGAGCAAACATTTCCTGACAAAGAGTGTGTAAAAATCAGCAGGGAACGCGTGTGCTCCTCGAGGGCTCTCCAGGCAGCCTTTGTGGTGATCACACTCTGTCCGATGACCGTCTGCTTCTGGCCTCTTCTCAAACTTAAATAAATAAAGATGATTTATCACGTGAGACATGAGTTTCCCTTCATAAATTGTAATGGGAATACAATGGAGGGCTCATTGTCTGGGAAAGGAATGAAACGTTGTCTAACATCATGGCACTGGAGTCTCCTCTTGCGTTTTGTTCTCTAAAAGGGTTTGAAATAGGGAGTGGAAGGTGTCTAGGAACAGAGGGTCCCCTTTAACTTCCTCTAGAAGCTTTTCCATCCCCCGTCAAGAGCAGTGATGCCCTGTGTGCCTGGCAATGACTGACCTAACACTGTGGGGTTGAAACGACCCTTCTTGTGACCCCAGGGTCCCTCTAACTCCGAAGGAGTGTGTGTGCATAATAAAGATAAGATTTGCTCTGGACTAGAAGTGTCCAAAAGCACTTTCTGAGATGACGGAAATGCTCTATAACCTGTGCTGTCCAGTACGGTACCACCAGCCACGTATGACTATTGAGATGTGGCTAGTGTGCTGGAGGAGCCAACTTTTTAATTGCACTTAATTTCAATGACTTTTAATTTAAGTGGCCACATGTGGCTGGTGGTTACTGTATTGGACAGCGCAAGTCTAGACCACAGAACCATAGTTTCATTTACTCACCCCCTCACTCCCGCTCATTTATTCCAGAAATTTCTCTAGGTGGCCTTTCTGCCAGCTGAAGGTTCACAGTCTCCTTGGGGAAGGGACAAGGAAAGAGATGATTCCTGTGCAGCGTGGAAAGTGTGGTTGCTGAGTTGGATACAAAGCAGCATTCAGGAAGGCCCATTCAGGTTTCACAAAAGAGGTGATGTTGAACGATGTGTTCAGATAACTGTTCCTGAAATGCTGGACCTTTGCACCTGGTTTTAGAAGGAACAGCTGGCCTTGAAGCTCTAGCTCTAGTGAGCCTCAGTTTTACCCTCTCACATGGCTTCCTGTCAGCTCCCGGCATCCACACCCATAGAAACAATCGTCCCTGTTTTGGTATCAAAAATCCATTCATTAATTAGTTAAGTCATTAAGCTAATACCAACAAGAAATGTGCCTCAACATGTATTAACATTTCCACAAGTCCACGACAGTCATCTAGTCTAGTAACTTTTAAGGAAACTGAGGCACACAGAGGAACAAAGTTTAGGTGAGTATGCAGATTAGATTAGGCACCCCTCAGGAGGGAGTGGGTAGGTGGGGCTTCAGTGCAGACAGGAGGTAAATACTGCCTGAAGAGAATTCATTCATTTTAAAATCAGTTAAAAGCGTGATAACTTAAAAACCAGCATTTTGGTGTCAAGATCGAAGACCATTGAGAATGAAATGCAGAATCATATTTGTGTGCTGCCCAGTGTTCTGGTTTCCTGGAGAAAGCCAACGTTCTTGTCAAAACTGAATGTGGATTTAACAGCCTCATGTTTGTATGAGTTAAAATGGAAGAGAAGCTTCCTTCACAGCTCCCTGACCTTCACCTGGGAACACGCTCCTTAGTACCGTCGCCAACAGAGGAGCCACAGAACCTCAACTGCCATTTTACCTTTGACTAAGCTTAGGTCACGCACCAGAAGAACCGCTGATTTTCTTTTCCTCTATTTTAGACTGATGGAATGAGTGACTGAAACAATATGAGGACCAGGCAGTGTAATTGGATGTGAAAAATATATAAGAGGAGTACAATGTTGGAAAGAGAGACAAGGGTGTTATCTTTTTCAGAGGGCGTAATATCATCCTTTACTAGATGCCAGATGAATACATGCAAAGAAGCATCTTCAATACACTGCAATGAAGAAACTTGAAGGAGATTATTAAAAAGAGAATCACTTTTGCAAATTCAGTAAAAGTATTTCATTCCAAGGGAATAAAACCCTTGAGAGATGACTAGAATCTTATGTCATGAAATATTTTATACACACAACTGATTATATATAATATATAAAGAAGTCACAAAGCAAAATAATGAAAGGGGCACTCAGCACCCAGTTGAAGAAATGCAGAATCTACAGAAAGAACAATATATAACATATTATTGGATGATATAAATAAAAATTTGAATAAATATACTATGGTTCATATGGGAAAGCTAACTGTTATTAAAAGGCGTTTTCTTTATGAGGCATTTTAGAAACCATATAATCACAATAAAAAACTAGGAGGCCTTTTACTGGACATATATAAAACAATTTCAAAATTTATTTTAAAAAACGAAGGAACGTTTATGATAAAAGTATTCAAATTCAGCATTTTAAATATGTTTATGAAATTTCAAAACAATTAAATACATATTGATCAATGGAACAGAATAAAAGGCCCAGAAATAAACTCAGCTAAACATAAGAATGTAATATTTAACATTTCAGAAGAAGGAGGCAATAATGGATTATTTGATAAGTGTTGCTGGGACACCTAGAAAGTTATAGCAGATAAGTAACATACTAAGTGCTTCCCAGTGCTGCATGTACAGTGTTCTTTAAATGCAGATGTGTCCCTTAAGTGGCTTACTATCTTGGAGGAAAGACAAGTGCAAATGACAAGTGTTCCAGCCAAAGTATGCACAGGGTGTTCTGGGGACACACAGGAACAGAAGTCATCCAGGCTCGGGGGGTCAATGCAGGCTTCTCAGAGGAAGAGAAAGCTAGGCTGGGACCTGATGGGTGCTAGGAATTGTCTAAGGAGCTGTTTCAGTGGAGGCCAGAATGCCTCTGTGAGCTCAGGGGTGAATGGAGGAGAGGAAGGGGACAGCTCTTCCAAGAGTGATAGGGCAGGGATGGAGGTGGCTGTGGAGTGAAGGGAGGGAATTTCTTGATGAAGTAGGACAGACCAGAGCATGATGACATTGCAAGGGGAAGAAAAATGGGAATTTGGAGATATAAGAGACAGGCAGAGCTTGCGTTTGAGAGAGGATAAATGATGGAGCAAGATCTCTGCAGAGGCACGGAGGAAGGGATCCAGTGTCATGGTAGAAGGAACCATTGTAGACAAGTCTACCATAGTGACCAGAATGGGGATGGTGCTGAGAAATGGAGAAATGTGTGTGCTTTTTATTAAAGGGAAATTCACACATATAAATTTAACCATTTAAAAATGAGCAATTTGATGCCATTCAGGACATTCACAATATAGTACAATTACGACCTCTATCTAGTTCAAAACATTTTCATCATCCCAAAAAGGAATCCCTCTACACATCCAGCAGATGTTCCCCATTCTCCCCTCCTGCTCTGTCCCTGGGAACCACCAATCTGCATTCTATCCTGTGAATTTGCCTGTTCTGGACATTTCATATAAGTGTGAGCATGCAATATGTGGCCTTTTGTCTCTGGCTTCTTTCACTTAGCATAACGTTTTCAAGGCTCCCCCATGCTGCAGCATGTGTCAGTATGGCTTTTTTGAGCTGAATTGTGTCTCCTCAAAATTCTTGTTGAAGTCCTAACCTGTAAATCTCAGAATGTGACTGTATTGGGAGACAGGGCCTTTAAAGAGGTAATTAAGGTAAAATGAGGTCAAATGGGGGGCCCTGATTCCGTATGACTGGTGTCCTTATAAGAAGAGGCCAGGACACAGACGCACACAGAGGGAAGCCATGTGAGAACACAGGGAGAAGATGGCCATCTACAAGCCAAGGAAAGAGGTCTCAGAAGAAACCAAACCTGCCAACACCTTGATCTTGGACTTCCAGCCTCCACAACTGTGAGCAAGTACATTTCTGCTGTTGAAGCCACCCAGTCTGTGGTATTTCGTTATGGGAGCCCTAGAAAATGAATAGAAAACTAATAAGATGGCTGAGTAATATTCTATTGTATGGATACACCACAATTTGTTTACCCACTTATCCACTGATAGATATTTGGACTGTTTTCATCATGTGTGTGTGTGTTTTTTCCTGAAGAGAAGTTAACATAGTTCTTTCTGATCACTTTTAAAGTCCTAGGCAAGATTATCTTCTTTAAGTAATGGTGAAAGACACAGACAAGAAAACGACAATCCAGGTCTTAAGACCAGCAGAATTTGACTTCAGTGGGGTAAGTGCAGACATCGGAGTGGAGAAGAACTGGCTCAGAAGTATCTTCAGAGATTGAAGAAGACACCAAGCCAACTCTTGACCCCGAGGAACTTAGAGTCAGAGGTGGAGAGAGAGCAACTCTTGGGAGCGCTTCAGGGCAACTCCTCTCCACAAGGGAGAACCAGGTGTCCAGGTGGCAATAAGGATGTTTTAATGAAGGAGAGGGAGTGTGTAGGAATTTGACTACTGGACAGATTGGGGGTTCTAGAGAACACAGAAGAAGGACCTGAGAAAGAGGAGAGTGAAGGGAATGAGGTCAGGGGACAGGACATATTTAACAGCAGATTCGGGGAAGTATATAGGACCGGAGAGACTTTTTTTTTATGTTTTGAGTGGTGATCAAATAAAACAGGACCTGAGAAAGAGGAGAGTGAAGGGAATGAGGTCAGGGGACAGGACATATTTAACAGCAGACTCAGGGAAGTATATAGGACCGGAGAGACTTTTTTTTTATGTTTTGAGTGGTGATCAAATAAAACATAAAGAGCTCATTCAAATTTTTATGAGAAACATGAACTTCTTTGTTAAGGGTAAAGGCTATAAAAATCTATTCAGGAAAATCCCCCACCCCCCAAAATCTGTAATTTAGATAATAGCATTATACCAATATTAGTTTCTTAGTTTTGACAAATGTACTGTGTTATGTAAGATGTTAATAATAGGCAATGCTGGATGAAGGGTATATGGGAGGAAAGTCTATGTACATTTTTGCAACTCTTTTGTAAATCTAAAAATATTCCAAAATAAAAAGTTTAAATTAATGATTTTAAAAATTCATTCACCAAAGAGGAAATGCATTTAGGAAATAGACACATGCGAGACATATATGATGTAATTAACAATCACAGATTTTGGAGTTGGACATATGTGGTTTCTAATCCTGGCTGCACTGATTACTAACTG